GGGTGGGGGGTCCCGTGCCGCCCGGCCGCCTTGGGGCATCTGCCCGCGCCCGCTGCCCGGTGCCAAGCGCGGGAGACCCCAGCGAGAGCTTCCCGCTCGTTGGCAGGGTGGCAGGAACGTTGCTGTGGGGGACACTGGGCTGCGAGGCATCACAGAACGGGCTGAAGCTGTCAGAGGTCTCTTCTCATGGGCAAAGCGAGAGCCTTGGCTGTCGATTTTCCCCAGCTGCCCCGTTCAGGCTCGCAGGGACGCGAAGGCTGGATTTACAAACTGGAATTTGTAGGCCCGGTGTGCCGAGACCGAAGCCCCAGCAGGCAGGCGGCAGGGACGCTCAGCGCTGGGCGTTTCCGAGGGGCTCAGGCAACGCGGCCACGATGGATCACTGGAAGCAGCGCGTCAGCAGCATCCTGGCGGACAGGAACTCTGACAACGTGGCTGTCGCGGGCCTCGCTGAGAACAGGTGCGTGTGGGCGGCCAAGCCAGGAGGGCTCCTTGCCGCCATCTCGCCTCAAGAAGTGGGCTTGATCGTGGGCCAGGATTGGAAAACGTTCCTCCTAATGGGAATGACCATAGCTGGCAAAAAGGGCAGTGTGATTCGCAACAACCTGCTGGTGGATAAAGACAACATGATGGATGTCAGAAGCAAAGGCAGCAACAGCAGATCCATCTGTATTGGCAAGACCCCCAGAGCCCTGATCTTCCTCACGGGCAAGAAGGGAGTCCATGGAGGAGCCCTCAACCAAAAGGTCCACGATATGATTGCGGGCATGAAAGCATGAAGCAAATAGTGCCAGAGAGACAGAGATCTTCTGCCTGAGCACAGGGGCATGGTAGTTGCTGTAGCTGAGAAGGGAAGTAAACCTGATTTTGTTGCACCTGTCTTTGCCTGCTTCTTTCAGGCGGGGTATGCTGGGCAGGCAGCGGTGCTGGGACAATGACAGTCTACCTGACCAGCCGTGGTGCAGAAGGGAGGAACAGCTCAATTTCTCATCAGGGTGCTCGGTATTACTTGAGTGGTCTCCTGGCCATCTTGTGTGATTGCTCCCATTCTGCTGACTGATTTTGGAGTGAAGGTCTCTCATAACATCAGCTTTGGGAAAGGGCAGGAGGGAGGGCAATCGCTTTGCCCTCTGGTTCCCCACTTTGCTGTTTAAATCATACTCTAATGCCATTCATGGGCTTTGAAGCCTTTCCCTTGCTACAAGCAGGCCACAACATAAGGATAAGCAGGACTTACTGTTTATTTCGAATTTGCCCCTGGAACAAGCCCAGTTTGTTCTGGAGATTAACTGTTGATCAGCAGAGTCTTGTGCTGCTGTTGGACTGCGTGCAAGGCACATGCAGACACAATCTGCCACCTACTCACCTTCCACATCATTTGAAACCCCCTCTTACGCTACTTTGCTGAGAAAATGGGGAGTTTTATGAGAAAAGTTACTTGTCTTGCATCTGTGGCACGGGGATCTTCTGAAGGTTGCTTGCTTTCCATCCTGCTTGGTTATGCTGTCTGGCCTCAAGATCACAGGTCCCTGTAAGACCCCCAGGACACCTGGGAGGACACGGAGCGGTGCCGAGCGTTGCTCATGGTATCGAATACCCATTTGTTTGGCCAGTTCGGGTCAGGCTATGTCCCCTCCTGGTTAACAGGAAATTAACCCTGTCCCAGCCAAACTCAGGACATAACCCTCAACGGCCAGTCTGAAATGGGGCGGAACTGGTGCTCTTGAGATGGGACCGTCGCAGGGAAGACTCGAGGGGTATCTCCGGCAGGGCCGATGGGCTCACACGCGGGCTTCCTTGCTCCACCGCTCCTCACAGCTGTGGCAGCTGCCTGGCAGCAAGCTCGAATCCAACAGACGCCGTCCCGCAGCAGCAGAGGCGGGCTGGACCGCTCGCCCACAGTGAGACACCCCGTCCTCCATACCCCTGGCATCCTTCCCTGCTGGGCCAGGTAAGCCACGCGCGCTGAACTTCTGGGTCTGGTTCGAAGCCCTGGCATTCTCCCCCCCCTCTTCAAATCATCAGCCCACTGAGTCAAAAGTAATTACTTGTGATTATTTTTATGACTCTACCACAGACACGAGAGGAGAGCCAGCCCCGCTGAGCAGACTGAGAGCACCTGCGCGCTCTTTGATAATTGTTAATCTTCTAATTTAGCATGGAGTCAATATTTTGTAATTTAATTGAATTCACACAGAGATCTTTAATCTGCAACTGCACCCACAGGAGCAGAAAAGCACTATAAGGGGAACCAGGCATCTGATGTATTAGCAAGCGTTCAGCAAAACTGCAATGACTGTCTAATTAGCGAGCACTGTGTGATAAGCGGTGCTTACAAGCATGAATCAAAACAAATTAATGTAAGTACTGAGGAGTAAAAACACAAAAACACAAACTGGTTTTAGAATCAAAGAATAAAAGCAATGCATCAAATGCAATAAATGAAAAAAAAAATATCCTGGCCACAAGGTTTTTTAAAAATCATG